TCGAGGTGGAGATAAGAAAGACTACTGGTAACCCATAGAATATGACCCTCTTGTGGTTAAGTGAGAGATGATTGTTTATGATCATATTTGATTTTACCTGGGGGTACTTTTCCTTTCAGTCTTACCTTACAAAGACCTTCTTGGCTGCCAGATGTGACACATATATCCATTTGTCCTTGACTGGGTGGATAATGGAGAGTGGGGGGATTATGCAAGTACACCTGTAACTGTCTTAGCCAGGTCAACAGTTCTGGAATTCTAAAACATAAAATGTATTTTAATGTTATTGTGAAAATTATAGTAGTAGTAGATAGGAAATAAATGGTTGTTTTATACCAGCTCTGTATATATCCAATTTAACCTTCAAACACTTTGTCAATATTAATATTCCTATTTAAAAGATGAAGCAACAGGCCCAGAGAGATCAAGAAATTCACATAAAGTCATTCAACCAGTGATGGAACGAGCTGGGATCTGAATCTAGATCTTTCTTATTCCAAAGCCTGAACTCTTTCTTTCACACTAAACCATTCATTGCGTAATCAATTCTTTGCTCTTCATAGATAGATTTTCATAGCTTAGCTAAGAAGTTCAGGCTCAAAGTGTTTTTTGTGTCTTTCAGAGAAAAGCTTTATGTATAATTCACATATAAGTAATATGCACACACACACACACACACAAAGTATTTTAATATATTTTAAAATCACAGAACAAAGTAAAATAAAATATCTTTTATCATTGGAAGAGTGACATTTTAACCTATGATGGCAATGTATTCACATAACTATCTGTTTAGAAAGGGTAAATAATTATAAGAAATTATAATTGCCTTTAAATTGTTTAAATTGCTGCTACCACTTCCTGGATCATTATCCTCCTTTCTTCCAACTTGTTTCTTCACCCAGCTACTCATTTTTAAAGACTCAGCTCAAATGGCATTTTCTTATAGAAAAACATTCACTGAAGAGTGTGTTAGAGAGCATTGCATTCAATATCCCTATACTGCCTCAGAAACCCAAGGAGGGGTCACTATGAGTCGGGGCCGACTCGATGGCAAACAACAACAATTCTTTAAAAGCTCTTTCTCAAACTTTCTTAACTGTTGAATACTCAGTTAAAACACACAAGTCACTCTATCAGTGGCCCTAGCTCATCAAAACAATCCAACAAAATGTTATTATCTATTGATAACTACCCAGCACTTTGAGAATACTGAAGAGCTCTCTTCATCATCTCTTCTCCAAAATGGATGGTCTTTCCATTGTCTATGGTAATAGTAGCAGTCTTAAAAGGGAAAGTGTTTGGATTTGGTGCTCCAGGAGCCAAGGAGATGAGCGATTTTGCTGCACTGGACACTATTTCAGCTACAATAAACACAGAAGAGAAGAAGAAACACTTTCATTGATGATAGTCATAAATAGAAATAGTTCAGTGTGTATATGGTCAATGAAACTATTAAGTTTAACAACGTACAGGCAACGTTGGAAATACTGTAAGTTCAATTCAAGACCACCACAGTAAAGCAAATTATTGCAATAAAGTGAGTCATACTAATTTTTTGGTTTGCCAGTGCATACAAAAGTTATGGTTATACTCTACTGAAGTCTGTTAAAGGAGCTCTGGTGGCACAGTAGTTAAAATACTCGGCTGCAAACCAAAAGGTTGTAGGCTGGAACCTTCCAGCTGCTCCATGAAAGAAAGATGAGACAATCTGCTTCTGTAAAGATTTATAACCTTGGAAACCCTATAAGGCAGTTCTCCTGTGTCCTATAGGGTAGCTATGGTTGAAAATCTACTCCATGGCAGTAGGGGTAATCTATTAGATATGCAATAAACCCAAACAACAACAACAACAAAAACCAAACTTACGGCCATCGAGTCATTTCAGACTCATAGTTACCCCTCCTTGGGTTTCCGAGGCGGTATCTCTCCGGAAGTAGTTTGCAGAATCTTTCTTCCCAGGAGTGGCTGGTGAGTTTGAATCGCCAGCCTTCTGGTTAGCAGTCAAATGCCTTAGGCACTGCACCGCCAGAGTTCCCAGATACGCAATAGCATTATGAAAAAGTTTGAAGTATTATGAGAATTGCCAAAATGTGACACAAAGAAGTGAGCACATGCTCTTGGAATAATGGCCCCAAAAGACTTGTTCTCAGATTTGCCACAAACCATTTTTTTTTTAAAGCATTAGCTGCAAAGCGCAATGAAGCAAATCGCAACAAAATGAGGTATGCCTGTATAATGATAGAATGCTGGTCTAAAATAAACATTTAGAATAATTTTTTCTGGGCCTACTTTACTGATAGAGGTAGTACGGAATAGAGATGGAAAACAGAAAGGCAGAGAGATCGGGAAGATAATCAAAAGGTCACAATAATAGCAGGACCTCCTCGATTTGACTCCATCCAACCTTTTTCTCAAGTTTCATCCCTCATCTTTTTACCTCCCCCATTTAGTATGTACTCCTTACTAGGCATACTTATGAGCACTTTGACTAACCCCGAGTCATCTTATCAAGAACAGCCATTCTCAACAGCACGGCCCCCTCCCATTTAAAGACATGTCTCACAACAGCCTGGGCGTCTGTATTATTGCTCCTCCTGCACTTGTAGCTTGTAAACGCTTGTTTGCTTGTCTTCCGCTCAAATTGGAATTCTTTGAGAACTAGGGCTGTGCCTCATTCATTTCTGCACTCAAGAGCATGGCCCACAGTGAGCCTTCATATGAATGAACGCAACCAAGAGATAACTAACTGTAGGCACCATTCTTGGAGACCGGGCGAGGATACTCCTGCCCAGAAAGTGGCGTCATCCCACTACTCACTCAGGAGTCGAATGGCAGACGGCTCTCGGGCTGCGCTCCTGGCCGTTAGAAACCGTGCGTAATTCATGTCTCCGATATCCAAGCACTGAATTCCTTCTTCAACTGTTGAGTGAGTAAAACAAGCCAAAGAGCCCAGTCAGTCCCTGCCTCTGAGCTCCTAACTTTGGAGATCCCTGCTAGTTGCCCACTGCTGCGTCTGGTTCAGGGCCCAGAGCTGGGCAAACCCTCTGGGACAGCCAGTCAGAAACGGTGCTCGGTCTCTGGGTTTTTGCCGGGACAGGCGAACTAACAGCAAGGCACTCGCGCAGGCTTTAGGGTCCACTCTTGTTCAAGCCCGCGCTCCACGAGGAAAAGCCTCCGCAGCGAGACCGGTCCGCCTCGCCGCGGGCCTCGCCACGCCCTCACCCGCCCAGCGCTTCAGCCTATGGCCGCCAGCCGTGCCTGCCCCTTCCCCCTCCCAGGTCACTGCCCTTCCCGAGCCGGGCTTGTGTTGTGAGCGCCGGCTGCGACGCCACAATCTGAAACAATTTAAAGCAAGTACGACCCTTGACCTCGCCGAAAGAAAGAGTCCAGGTTGGACCAGGTACCAGCTACTCATTAACGAACAATTTTGCCTAGGGAGCGGTGGAAGTACTGAAAGTCCCTCGTGATCCTGATCTTTGGGTACCATCTAGTGGCCACTTTCGTGCATTGCAGCAGTCTTCTTAAACTGCACAGGCTGCTGAATGCGCTCTTGTGCAGGCGTGGTTACCTGCCTCTCTCTGGTAACACACATACACACACACACACTCACTCACTCACTCACTCACTGCCGTGGAGTCCATCCGACTCATAGCAACCCCTCCTTGGGTTTCTGAGGCGGTACCACTA